TCACCACCTGCAGTGTGCCCAGCCTGATGCTGCCCGTGTAACTGCGGTTATTTCTTACCAGTCTCCACACTGCTGGCCTCACCTTCCCACAGGCTGTTCGGAACACAGCGTCCAGGGGAATCCTTTGAAAACTGGTGAAGGGCACAGCTCATGAGAATTCTTGCTTAGTCTCTTTTTCTCTAATATTGATCTTAATTCAGACCCTCATTTCTCCCTGGGATTACTGCAGTGCACTCATCGCTGGTTTCCTGCCCTTAATCTCCTCCTGCAGCCCAAGGTCAGCACTGCTCCCAGGGACCTTTCATTGCTCCAGCAAACCCATCCCTCATGCTAGTGATTGAGACTTTACCAGTTTTGCCCCATTTTGTGTTCAGGGCCCTCCAATCTGTAGCTAAGGCAGTTTCTGAAGGCTTCGACATGAGATCCAGGCTCTCCGCTGTGTCTGTGTCTCTGGAGGGCTGCCCACCTCTGGCCTCACCAGCTTCCTCCATACACACTGCTCCTGCCCCAGCTCTGCCGAAGCCCTCGCTTATCAGATACTGCTTTTGTGAAAGAGGCTCTCACTGGCTATAAAGCTTGTTCAGAATTCAGCTCGATTCAAGCGCTGTGTCCTTCAGCAAACCTTCGGAGAAGCACTCCCACTTCCCATCATGGATGGCTTCCGCTCAGCTCCCGCAGTATACTGGGCACCTCTCACCCAGCGCACTCACTGCTCTGGGGTTCCTGCCAGCTTGTCTCTGTGTTCTTTAAAGCATCCTGAGGAGTGGACAGGCCTTGTTTCTCTGCCGCTGTAGTGGCCAATATAGACAAGATACTCACTATTTCTTGAATGAATTGTGACTTCTGATCAAGGTGGAAGCACTCACTTGTGCTTTGATGCATCTCCCCTCCAAATACAGCAGTGAAAAGGTACAATTTAAATAGAGAAACAAACCAAAAAGCATAGGCAGGCCCCCAAGCCAGAGAAATACCCTCAGTGCAGAAATAGTCTAGGGTCCTAGCATGGTAAGCACGAGCTGGCTAGATTTCACTGGCCGCTGCGCAGCAAGCTCCAAGCAGGCAGTGTCAGCAGGAAACTGAGTTCCCACGGGGTAGGGTAACAGGGACCCAAGTGTTCAGTGGAATTAGATTTAGATTTTTGTTTTGAGATGGCCTTATCACCTGGGCTGGATGCAGTGGTGTGATCATAGCTCACTGCAGCCTCAACCTTCTGGGCTCAAGCAGTCCTCCTTTCTCAGCCTCCTGAGTAGCTGGGTCTGTGCTACCAGGTCTACACATGGTGTGTATTACCATGCCTGGCCGGTTTTTTATGTTCTGTAGAGATGGGGGTCTCACTATGTTGCCTGAGCTGGTCTTGACCTGGGCTCAAGCAGTCTTACACCCTTGGCCTCCCAAAGGGCTGGGATTATAGGCGAGAGCCACCATGCCAGGCCTTAGATAGTTTTTGAAGCTGGAGTTAGAGAAGGTTCCCCTATCTAAGGCAATTCTCCCCTATACAGATGGGGCGTAATTGGAAGTTGTGGTCCTAGAGAAGGAGAACGCAAGGACTGGGATGAGCCGTGCTATTCTGTGGTTCCCTAACAGGGTCTGCACTGTTAGTGACGTCACCATGCAGCAGAACCCTGCTTCACCATGGAAAGCCTAGCTCTGGACTGAGGCCTTGGAGCTCGGAGGGCAACAACCACAGAACACTAGTGCTACGGCTGAATGCTTTTGTGTCCCCCACTCTGCCAAAGTCACATACATGCTCCAGTCCCAATCCCCAGCGTCCCCTTGGGAGGGGATTAGGTCATGAGGGTGGAGTCCTTGTGAATGGATGAATGTGCTTAGAGAAGGTCCCTCAGAAGCTGGGCCCCCGCCAGACACTGAATCTGCTGATGCCCTGATCTTGAATTTCCAGCCTCGAGAACTGTGAGAAATGAATTTCTATTGTTTATGAGGCACTCAGGCAGTGAGGGTTTGTTATCGCAGCCTGAATGGACTGAGACACTAGACAGGGAGGAGAGCAGCAGCAACAGAAAACCTTCTGTCGGGATGAGCCCTAGGGCTCACTTTCCTCTCCATGCAAAGACTGCTGATACTCACACATCCCCACGGAGTCGATGCCTTACAGAGCTGTGCATTGACTGCGTCGGAAACTGAAGGATAGTCTGGCAAAAACTCTCCAAATAAGTATGTTTAAGATGCTTAAAACAATAAATTAGCATCCATGAGAACACATTTTCCAAAAAGAGAGCAAGAAGGTATGACGAAGGGAAGAACAGCCTACAGTCTCGTAACCGAGAAGGATATTAGCCAGGATGATAGACTCCGGACTGGACATAGTCACAGACGAAGTGAGTGAGTGACCGACCGAGAAGGATATTAGCCAGGATGATAGACTCCGGACTGGACATAGTCACAGACGAAGTGAGTGATTGGCAGTTACTTCACAAAATTGACCCAGACGACAGGCACAAGCGGGAGGGGCACAAGGATAACACTGAAATACGAGGTCCTGAATTCAGGCAAGCCTGGAGCTGACTCTGTACTTTGACCTGACATTAGGTGCCGTAATAATGGCTTTTTAACGGAAGCTAGTTTGAGTCTCTTTCCTTTTGGTCTGCGGCAGAAATAATCTTTTCTCATGTGAGAGCCCCTAAGCTGACACTCTTCCCTTAATGTTAGGCATTAGATCCTCTGACAGTCAGCCAGAGTTCATTATCAGAGAATATGTAAATCAGAGTATTTGATGTGATTAATCTTGGCACATACAGAAGAAATCTCTGAAACTTAGGAAGGAAAGCAAACTGGGTAGGAGGACATGGACAGGAGACCGGTCTACTCAGCGGCCCCACTCTGCTCTCCTCCCACACGCTGCCCAGCCCAGAAGCCCATGTTGATTGCTCTGTTTGGCCTCTGAAGAGGTTTCAACACTTGACAGAATCCTTGTCAGGTTTTAAGACACATTTGGGTGATCTTAATTAGTGTTGTTGGACTTTCTTTGTGTTTGCAAGTATGCATTGAAATACTGAACTGAATAGCTGTTCGTGTTCTTTAGCTAATTTTATGGTCTTAGGAGCAGCCTTGTCTCTGACACTCACTGTATAATATATTTAATTGCAATAAAATACACTAACATAAAACTTACCAGCTTTAACCAGTTCGGTGAATGCTAGATTCATATAGTGAAATGTGCTCATGCCTGCCCCCCCCACACCACCCCCACCGTGTTCAGCTTCTGCTGTTACGCCCCAGCCAGGCGCAGTTTTGGGCATGCCCACAGTCACCCTGCTGCTCTCCTCCAGTCTCTCTGACTACACTGGGTTCTGAACCCCACAAGTGTTTCTGTTGTCTTCAGCAATCGTCTGGGATAATTACAAACCAATTCAGTGAAATTAAGAAGTTTCTCAAGTCATTTTAGGAGGTTTGTTCCCACCCTGGAGGGCTCCTGCAGCAAGAATTCTCCAGTTCTCCCTCAGACTAGGCAGCTGCAGTCTAGGCTGCGTCTCTGTGAAACCCACACCTCCAGTTGCCTTCACTAGGACCTCCACGATTCCTTGGTTTAAAGAGGGTGCCCTTAGGTTTAAACATCACCAAACTTGGTTGCAAATGAAGTTAGTGCCTTGGGAAGGGGTTAGGAGCGGTCTCTCTTTCTACCTGCTTCTCCCAGGCAAACCCTCAGAACGAGGGCTCTGGAGTTGGGAGTGTGGACAGTGGCAAGCTTCTCCCTGACAGATGCCCCTGGTCTTGTGGTGGCAGCCAGGGCCCTCTCAGCTTGTCATTGCAGGGCCGGAGTGCAACCACCACCTCGCAGAGCCAGGGCACAGCCGATCAGGGCCCCAGCATTCTCAGCGTGCCACACTGTTGAGCCTCCATTTTAGAGTGGAGGCTGAACAGAAGTAGGAAGGCCCTCCTCCAGCCCCTCCCCCTGTCCCCACCCCCCACTGACTTCACTAGCCAGGATGTAGCATCAGCACCAGGTAGCTGGGGTGGGATGGGAAGCACTGAAGTTCTGCCCCACCTGGGAAGAAAATGTGGTTTGGAGCAGGGGGAGAGGGCCCTACGTTATCAGCTGCAGTTATCTAGAATGAAGTCTGCCTCACTGACCTGGAGGGGAGGCAGGGAGCAGTCTTGGTTCAAATACAACAGACTGGCCATTCTTACTGAATTTTCAACTGTATGCTGACCCACTTGCCCTTAGAATGATCTCCAGAGGCTTTGAATAGTTGTTTTCTTATAATATTCACCTGCTTTCCATGGGAGCAAGCAGGTCAATGGAGCTTCTCAGGCTGTCATGCCAGAACTCTATTACCCAGAGTAGGGATTCTTGCAGAAATATTTAGGAGAGAGGCTGGGCACGGTGGCTGAAGCCTGTGCTCTCCGCTACTTGGGAGGCTGAGGCAGGAGAATCACTTGCGCTCAGGAGGCCAAAGCTGCAGTGAGCTGTGGTCATACCGCTGCACTCTAGCCTGGATGACACAGTGAGACCCTGTCTCAGAAAGCTGCAGTGAGCTGTGGTCACACCGCTGCACTCTAGCCTGGATGACACAGTGAGACCCTGTCTCAGAAAGATAAAGGGAGAAAAGGAGGCCAGGACAGGGGTGGTGGCCTTCTAGGCCTTCTTTCCTCTCTCTCCTGCAACTCTAGATCACGTGTCTGTGAGTCATTCAAAAACGTCTTCATGCAGTTCATGTCAGGATCCTGTGGAGGAAAATGTTTTGGACTTCTCTGGCTGCTGAGAAGGTGGACTTGGATTCCCTTTCTTCCCCTGCCTTCCTGGTGCCAGGCAAGGCCCAGGGATGGAAGGAAGTCAGATGGTCTGAGTCAGTGTTCTGATTTATTAGGGAATCTGCGTGGTCTTTGGCCAGTCCATTGATCCCCTCTTTCTCTGGAGGATCATACAGATCCCTTCCCCATAACTTGGAATGAGGTTGCCTTCGTGCGAAGATGGTGGAGCCTTGATGGAAGGCTTTCTTTGGAGGGTCTGTCCTATTTAATTTCGTTTTGTAATTTTCTAGGAGTTCGCGGCACTTACTAAAGAACTCAATGTATGCAGGGAACAGCTCCTTGAAAGGGAAGAAGAAATTGCCGAACTGAAAGCAGAAAGGAACAACACCAGGGTGAGTGTGACCTTGCTGTTCACCGCCTGCTCCTGGAGCCACTGCCTGTAAGGAGGAGGGAGCTGTCTCCAAACGGAAGGACGGCCCACTCTGCCCGGCTTCAAACACATTTCTTACCTTTTCCCACTGAGCGCACTGTGATTAGCCACACTATCACACGTTAATGGCTTGAAATTTGTGATGAGAATTTATGATATTTTAATACATTTGAGGGGAATGTATCTTTCTACTGAATTGAAGGGACCTCATCTTAGTATGAGACTGTAAAGGTGTTATTTGCCCCAGATTCAATTATGAAATGACAAGTGCTCTTTAACAAGTCTTTATTCTGGCCTTTTATTTCAGCTGCTGTTGGAGCATTTGGAATGCCTCGTTTCCAGGCATGAGCGGTCTCTTAGGATGACCGTGGTGAAGAGACAAGCGCAGTCTCCAGCAGGCGTGTCCAGCGAAGTGGAGGTGCTGAAGGCCCTGAAGTCGCTATTTGAACACCACAAAGCTCTGGACGAAAAGGTGCCTCAGCTGCATGAGCCTGGGTTTGTGCACGTGCTGTGGGCTAGGCCAGCTAGGCCAGCTCCGCAAGTGTTCGTGTAACTTACTTTTGAAGCTTCTTGAATTCTTGGAAATAAGTTTCTGTTTAAGAAGACAGGGTTTTATAGGTTTAAAAAGTACTAATTGGCATATATGTCTTAAAATTACTAATGTAAAAAACTTGCTAATGTATATTGATTTGCTGTTACAAATTGGGTAATACTAGATTGTTGCAAAAGTAATTGTGGCCTTTGCTATTACTTTTAATGGTGGGTTTTGCTATTAATTACTTTTAATGGCAAAACCCACAGTTACTTTTGCAACAACCTAATAGTATTCAGGGGGAAGATTTTTCTCAAACTTAATTTAGAAGCATTAACAAGTTTTTTGAAAGTAAGATCAGTGGCAGACGTTAACGGTGTTTTATTATATTACAGTAATATATATAGTACACCGAACTGCAAAGTAAGAATAAACAGTGTACACACACACACTGAACCTCTTTTATTTTCAGGTGAGAGAGCGGTTACGAGTAGCACTTGAAAGATGTAGTTTGTTAGAAGAAGAATTAGGTGCCACACACAAAGAGGTGAGCTTCATACATCATCATGATTTGAATTGGGAGGTTTTTGTTTTTATCTTTCAATCATTAAAAGTAGCATAAGGGCTGGGCATGGTGGTTCACACCTTTAATCCTAGCACTTTGGGAGGCCGAGGCGGGCGGATCACCTGAGGTCGAGAATTCGAGACCAGCCTGGCCAACATGGTGAAACCCTGTCTCCACCAAAAATACCAAAATTAGCCAGGAGTGGCGGTACGTGCCTGTAGTCCCAGCTACTCAGGAGGCTGAGACACGAGAATCACTTGAGCCCTGAAGGCAGAGTCTGCAGTGAGATTTCACCAGTGCACTCTGGCCTGGGCGACAGAGCGAGGCTCTGTCTCAAAAAAAAAGTAAAACAAGTATAAAGACTGTAGTTGTGAATATCAGATGTTATTTATCTGGGTCATTTTAAGGACTAGAAAACTGTGATTACCTAAGGACTCATTTGGCCAGTGGATAAAAATTCCATCTTTAAAGATCAGATTGGATAGCGTTGCCACATGCTTTCTTTTTTATACTTTGTTAAGCAGTTTATAGTTGTGTTTTTCCAAAAGGAGTTTTACTATCTTACTTCTCTTATGTAAAGTATTTTATACTCGTTCAATTTTTTGGTTTTAGCTAATGATTCTTAAAGAACAGAATAATCAGAAAAAAACACTAACAGACGGAGTACTGGACGTAAACCATGAACAAGAAAATACACCGAGCACGAACGGAAAGGCAAGTGTGCAGGCTTTCTCTCTCTCCTGCTGGATGTCGTTTGTCCGCAGTATGTGTCGGGTTACGTGGAAAACGTTTGCTAAAGCACTGGCTTAGAGCTGAAGTGGTCATGAAAGTTGTGTGATCCAAGAGATTGCATAAGCCAGTTTTGATTTGAGCTGTTTCCCAGAAGCAAACAAGGGTATTTAAGGATTTGTTTCCCCCGATCAGAGATCTTCTGATGGTTCTTTAAGCCACGAGGAAGACCTTGCTAAAGTAATTGAGCTCCAAGAAATCATAAGTAAACAGTCAAGGGAACAGAGCCAAATGAAGGACCGCCTGGCTTCCCTCTCCAGTCACGTGACAGAGCTGGAAGAGGATCTGGACACCGCCAGAAAAGATCTCATCAAATCTGAAGAAATGAACACAAAACTGCAACGAGATGTCCGTGAAGTGAGTGAGAACAAAAATTGCAGTCCTGTCATGAGGGTGGATGTTTGGGATGTTTGAGTTAGATGAGTTTTCTTCTCCCTTTGTCCCTTACTCTCCCAGTTACAGCCAGCCTTTGGATTACTGTATAGGTGAAACTGAAAAAGAGAGAGTGCTGTGAGACTGTGAGAAGCTACCTCCCCATTTCTGTTGTGAAATCTCCTGTCCCTGAGGTCCCACTGACATCTGTGGCCATGGAGCGGACACCACACTGGCCCTTCCTACCTCTGCTGCTCTGAGACCTTTTAATGTCCTTGTTTGTAGATTCTTCATCTGTGCAGTTTCTAGGCTGTCTCAAGTTGTTCTTATGTTCAGATTTCCTTCTGTTGCACCCATTCTTAGCAAGCAGATGCTGATCCCGGCCATGCTACCAGTTCATGTAGGGTGATGGGAGAACAGTCTGTTAACTGCGCAAGGGCGTTGCTGGTGGTCCTCTTATTTTCTGACCTGCTCCTTCAAGGAATTCGTGCCATTGAATATTGACGGTCAGATCAACAATTGAGAGTGGAATTTGCTTCTACATGGGTTATCAGGATTGTATATTAAAAATATGTCACAGTATACTCATTTCTGACAGATACTTTTGCCTTTATAAGTAGGAGGAACTATTTGATCATAAACAGTGAGGCCGAGTTCTTTCTCAGGTGCCCTTCCTGTCACTTTCTAACCTGCACTTTGTGCCTTGTCAGGCACCTGAAACGTTGAAAGTATGCTTTTCGGTTCGGTAGCTTGACATGAGTAGCTTCCTGTAGGAATTCACCACAGGAAGAATATTTGCATGCAGTATGTCACCTACTAGTTTATATTCTTTGGCTACAGCAGGAGATTATTTGGCAGAGATTAATATGCAGAGAATTTTGAAATTCTTTTAAGACCTATCACTTTTTTGTTTTTTATTATTACTATTTTTTGAGACGGAGTTTCGCTCTTGTTACCCAGGCTGGAGTGCAATGGCGCGATCTCGGCTCACCACAACCTCCGCCTCCTGGGTTCAGGCAATTCTCCTGCCTCAGCCTCCCGAGTAGCTGGGATTACAGGCACGTGCCACCATGCCCAGCTAATTTTCTGTATTTTTAATAGAGACGGGGTTTCACCATGTTGACCAGGATAGTCTCGATCTCCTGACCTCGTGATCCACCCGCTTCGGCCTTCCCAAGTGCTGGGATTACAGGCGTGAGCCACCGTGCCCGGCCACTTTTTTGTTTTTTATTTTAAGTTCTGGTACATGTGTAGGTCTGTTACATAGGTAAACTTGTATCATGGGGATTCGTTGTACAGATTATTTTGTTACCCAGGTACCAAACCTGGTGCCCATTCGTTGTTTCTCCTGATCCTCTTCTTCCTCCTGCCCTCCACCCTTCAGTAGGCCCCAGTGTGTATTGTTCTCCTCTATGTGTCCATGTGCTCTCATCATTTAGCTCCCACGTATAAGTGAGAACATGAGGTATTTTGTTTCTCTGTTCCTGTATTTGCTAAAGAAAACGGCCTTCAGCTCCATCCATGTCCCTGAAAAGGATGTGATCTCATTCTGTTTTCTGGCTGCATATTATTCCATGGTATATGTAACATTTTCTTGATTCAGTCTATCATTGATGGACATTTAGGTTGATTCCAGGTCTTTGCTATTATGAATAGTGCTGCAGTGAACATACATGTGCATGTGTCTTTATAATTGAACAATTTATATATTTTTGGGTATATACCCAGTAATGAGATTTCTGGGTTGATATTTCCATCTTTAGATCTTTGAGGAATCTCCACACTATCTTCCACAATGGTTGAACTAATTTATACTCCCAGCAACGGTAGAAAAGCATTCCCTTTTCTCCACAACCTCACCAGCATCTGTTATTTGTGGACTTTTTTGTAATAGCCATTCTGACTGGTGTGAGATGGTGTCTCATTGTGGTTTTGATTTGCACTTTTCTAATCAGTGATGTTGAGCTTTTTTCCCCTGTCACTCTTAATATTAAGACTTTCTAACTTTAGTTATTTTATAAATAGAGAACAACCTGAAAATAGTGGATTCTGGGGGTCGAGGACAGGTGTTTCACAAGCAAAACGTTCTGGTCCTAGCCTTAAGTGAGGTAGTTACATCCGAGTAAATTAAACTTGTCCTCCTCTTTCCATTTGTCAGTGTGCCTGGATCGTGTAACTGTATGAGATTTCATCCAGCCTTCATCCTAGAAGATGAGACTTGCATCTCACTGCTGTATCCATCGAGAGAGGCCACACTCTGTCCTGTATAAGGCCATTTGCAGCTTGAGGGAGACATAGATGTATCTTCTTTGAGAACACTTTCACCCCCTTGAATTCTTGCAATATTTAGATATTTTACTGTTCGTATTCTTATAGTATTATGTAGAAATGGGAAAGCTGGCAAACCGAGTGGCCATAGTATTAAGAGAGACAAGTCTTTATTAATCGCATATAGGTGAATATTTATGGTATTTGAGGTAGTTACATTTTCATTCACATTTGAGAAAATTGACTCTTCCATCAATTTGATTTTGAGGACACTAATTTTTTTTTTTTTTTTTTTTTTTGAGACAGGCTCTTTCTCTCTATGTTACCCCGGCTGGAGTGCAGTGGTACCATCATAGCTCACTGCAGTCTTGAGCTGGACTCAAGCAATTCTCTTGCCTCACCCTCCCAAGCACCTGGGACTACAGGCGCGTGCCACCATACCTGGCTAATGTTTGTTTCTTTAAAAGATTTTTGGCCAGGCTCACTGTCTCATGCCTGTAATCTAGCACTTTGGGAGCCCAAAAGGAGGTCAAGGAGGATCTCTTGAGCCCAGAAATTCAAGACCAGCCCAGGCAACATACTAAGAACCCTATCTCCACAAAAAAATTAAAAATTAGCTAGGTATAGTGGTGTGTGCTTGTAGTCCTAGCTACTGGGATGATTGAGGTGGAAGGATTGCTTGAGCCTGGGAAGTCAAGGCTGTAGTGAGGCTTGGTTGTGCCAGTGCATTCCAGCCTAGGTGATAGTGTGAGACCCTGTCTCAAAAAATAAAATATTTTTGTAGAGACAAGGTCTTGAACTCCTGGCCTCAATACATCCTCTTGCCTTAGCCTCCCAGAGTGCTGTGATTACAGGAGGGAGCTGCTGTGTCTGACCTGATGAGGACACTAATTTTTAGTTTGATTGGGAATTTAGCATTTAGTTCCGTTTTTTTCCTCCCTTAAGTATCTCGGTGTGTAATCTGTTAATTACCTACCTTTCTGTCCCCTCTGAAATACTCGATTTAGGCCATGGCCCAAAAGGAAGACATGGAAGAGAGAATCACTACTCTTGAAAAACGCTACCTCGCTGCGCAGCGTGAAGCCACGTCTGTGCATGACCTCAATGATAAACTTGAAAATGAAATCGCAAATAAAGACTCTGTGCATCGACAGGTAATGGGTTTCAGCAACCTCTGTCTGGCTTCAGTTAATTATCAATGAGGTTACAGGCCCGTTTACTCTTACTGTTGAAAATGTTGGAAATCCAGTTCAAATAAATCGTTCTTATGACCTTAGAATATTATGTTCAAGACGTGGGAGTTCAGTTTACAGGTTTCGATTATGTAGGATTTGATTTAACCATTTTGTGGCGCTACCGTCCTCAATATTTTCCTTTGTTTTAATTAAAAGTTACTGCTTGTTAGCATTTTTACCAAAGGAGCAGAGAGTGGCAAAGAACTTCAGGGTAATTGGCTATTTCTTACTAAGTGGGAACAGCATGCTAAATGAATAGTACAAGAAATGAAGTCTTGGTCAGGCGCCGTGGCTCGTGCCTATCATCCTAACACTTTGGGAGGCTGAGTGGGGAAGATCGCTTGAGCCCAGGAATGTGAGAACAGCCTGGGCAACATAGCAAGACGCTGTCTCTACAGAAAGTTTAAAAAGCAGTTAGCTGGGCATGGTGGCATGTGCCTGTAGCTCTAGCTACCCAGGAGGCTAAGGAGGGAGGATGGCTTGAGCCCTGGAGTTTCGAGGCTTCAGTGTGCGGTGATCGCACCACTGCCCTCTAGCCCGGACCACAGAACAAGACCCCATCTCTAAAATAACGAAAGCAATGAAGTCTCTAGTGAGAAATGTGTCTCCTGTGGTTTAGTAAACCATACTTAACTCATGTAAGAGTACCAGTACACTCCAGCCTGTGTGGCCAAAAAAAAACAGCTTCTTAGAAGTTATTTAGGAAAAGCAAATACTTTGGCAAGAGGTGTTTTGCACATTGAAATCAAGCCCAGGAAAGTAGGCATGTACTCCTGACAGCAGTAAAACCTGACCCAGGCTGGGCACAGTGGCACACACCTGTAATTCCAGCACTTTGGGAGGCTGAGGTAGGTGGATCACTTGAGGTTAGGAGTTCAAGACCAGCCTGGCCAACATGCTGAAGCCCTGTCTCTAGTAAAAGTGCAAAAATTAGCCAGGCGTGATGGCGTGCACCTGTAATCACAGCTACTCAGGAGAATTGCTTGAACTCGGGAGGCAGAGGTTGCAGTGAGCTGAGATTGTGCCACTTCACTCCAGCCTGGGTGACAGCGGGAGACTCTGTCTCAAAAAAAAAAAAACCAACAAAAAAAACCTGACCCAGAAGCAAATACGAGCACTGTAGCTGTTCTATCATGACGGCCTTACTATACCTGCATTTCGGTTAGTTTCAGTCTATTAAAAACTGATACAGCTGGAAGATAAGCTGCATTTTGATGCTTTGCTCACCTTTTACAGACTGAAGATAAAAACCGCCAGTTACAGGAGCGCTTGGAATTGGCAGAGCAAAAGCTGCAACAGACACTGAGGAAGGCGGAGACACTTCCCGAGGTGGAGGCGGAGCTGGCCCAGAGGGTGGCAGCGCTTTCCAAGGTGGTGCTATGAGCTTAGTGCTGGTTCGGCTGCCAGGCCTGTGACTGTGCCCTGTCTATGTACCTTGTTTGTCACTGTTCTTATTCCATCAGTGCACTAAATCCAGGGAAGAGCATGGGTTTGGTTTGAGTGCTCCTTCATCTGAGATCTGAGACTGGAACACTTTGTAAATGCCAGACATGATGCTTCTATCCCGAAGTCTCCCTCGGTTTTGTTTGTCCTGGTGTGTGCTGTTTGTCCACAGCATGTGTGATCGAAGAGTTTCTGCTTCTTAGAATTGTTTTCAGTCGCCAGCCGAAGCATAGGATGGAAGTGTCTGTAAAAGAAGGGTAGTTTTTCCTCAGAAATAGGAAGATGGCACTTTTTTAAAAACACCATCGAGATAAATTTTAATAAACACATTTTTAAGCAATTTCATTATTTTGAAATTGCTTAAAAATATTTTTTTAAAAGTAGTATTTATTCATTTGTTCAACAACTATTGGCTAGGCATATGCAAGGCACAGTTCCTCCCAGTTCTCACCATTCATGGTAGAAGAGCTAAAGAGGCAGGTGCGGTCATAGGTCCTGGGATCGGCGAGGACCAGGGAGCACAGCACTGGGCAAACCCCCAGCCCTCCCGGGCAAGGGGTGCCTAGCACTGCAGCTCCAGGCAGGTGAGCAGCAGGAGCCAAGGCCCCTCCTGGGCAGTCATCCTGACTCTCCTGGCTCAAGCTTTTCAAGCTGCTGGGGAGCGCATCCTGGACCATTCAGATGGTTTTAGGGCTCACAGACCTGTTCCTTCTAGCAAGTTTGTTGCTAACAGCTGTAAGATAACTTTTCCTCCCACTTCATGATCTGCTTTTAAAGTCTCAATTTTTTTTCTCCCCTGTTATCTTTCCTGTCCCTTGTCGGCTTTGTAGTCTGACCTTTTGTCTTCTGGGAGCTCTGCTGCTAAGGAAGCTAAACTGTTGGAACTTACTTCCAAGCTTAGGAAGGTAGAATGGGTGCACTGCTCCTTGCCTGTGCTTGCCACTGCTTGCTGCTTTCCATGCTGACTAAACAGAGCAGTCAAAGGGTGGGGATAATCACGAATCCACTGAGATTGGGCATAGGGGTTGTGGGGAAGCACCCAGTCAGTCGCCAGCAGCAGCCATGCTTCAGAATCACCAACACAAGAGGGCTAGCCACCTCACGACCCAGCACATGAAGCCCCATAGGCTTTGTTGATGGATGTGACCCATTTGGTATGGCAGAACAGTCGTCACGGCCCAGCACGTGAAGCCCATAGGCTGTGTTGATGGATGCGAGTGCGTGCTTTCCATTTGGCATGGCGGAGCAGTCCCCGCAGAGCATGCTCCGCCTGTTGCCACTGCAGCAGTGTGCAGCATGTCGCCGATGAAGTGTAAGGATAAGGTTGGCTGATGCTGTTTCTGCTGACAGGCTGAAGAGAGACACGGCAACATTGAAGAAAGGTTACGGCAGATGGAAGCACAGTTGGAGGAGAGGAATCAAGAACTGCAGCGGGTGAGCATTGAGCCTGGAGGGCGGGAGCACTGAGCTGGGGACTGCAAGGGCATTGCTCAGGCTGTGGGGAGCTCGCTCAGGGCCTCCCACCCACGACTGCGATGTTGGTTCTCCAGCTCATCTGCGCCCGAGTTGTCCGCTCATGCGTACATCCCACACAGTGGCAGTTTTCAGTCAGTACTGGAAGCTGCGGAAGAAATTTGAGCTCATAGGCAGAACTTGAGAGGGTAGATTAGATCCTCATGTCCAGAGCGCTTCTCGCTTGTGAAGTCCAGCAGCCTGTGAGGGGACCTGTGGCACCATCATGGGGACCCCCCCCACAAAATGTAGAGGCAGGCCCATTGTCCTGGATGATTAGTCTGCTTGCTTAGAATATGGCACTGAAGTCCCAGATGCAGATCAGAGACCTGACTTCTGTCCCAAGTTAAAATACTCCAAACACAGTGGTGTGTTGGAGTGAGTATTTCCGAGCAAGAGCAACACTGTAATTGAGCGACGGTAAAAAGATTAGGAAAGAGCGTGGCAGTAGAGGCTCCTGCCCGTTGAATCTAAGATCGTTTTCCTGGAAGACTTGGGCAGATGTCAGTTTGGAACATCCAGGAAAAAGTGATAGCAAGAGCAGTCCCAGGGCCAGCCGGCACCAGGCCTGCGTTTGGGGTGGACTTCTCTTTAACAAGTAGGTGGAGAAGGGAAGCATGCAGCATCAAATTGCAGAACCCTTGCACCCCCACATCAGCCCACTTCATACCATTAATTTAAGGCTACGAGATTTTGTTTTCACCAGAAATCTGTATTCTTGGCCATGCCCTGCAGAGAGTCAAATGAGCTTCCGGGCAATGACGATTCTGACTCCCAGTGAGAGGGTGCATGTTAGGAAGTCTCCACCTCCCCTTCCACAGCGCACACTCATGCACCCAGACACAGCACTGAACTTTAAGCTGTGTTCTTTAAAAATTAGTTAAATGCTGACAGAAAATAAGCACAAGGATATTCTGTCTTTCCTTAGAAAAGTATGAGATACTCTGTATGCCACATGATGTGCTGGGCCCTTTCAGGTAATGATAGTTGCTACCTGTTAGACCTTATGAGAAAAGGAGAGGTCACTACCCATGTCTTTCCAGTGCAGAGACTGGCGCACGGGGGTTGAATGCTCTGCTGACTCCCGTGGTACGGCCTCGTGGCTTTCTCCTCCTGCCTGGGCAGCATGACTCGAGTGCACGTCGGAACCCTGTGCCACCGCCCCTGCCTGGGAGGAGCCCTCTGAGCGCTACAAGCGCACTTGGATGATGAGGGCATGGAGGTGCCACCTGGACGGGTGCCGCCTACTACACTTCCTGTCCCCTTCTGCCCGTCATTTGTGTTCATTCAGGAGCGAGAAACAGAGGTTTTAAATTGTGAACTTGATTATGGTTTTATAAAATACAGACATGTCAGTTTTATTATTACATATTAAAATTACTTAAGGTAATTATTTTAAATTTTTGAATATAAATTTCCATTATGAGAAATTTAAGCAGTGTAGAGGTATAAAGAAAAAATATGAAAGTCTCTCTAGCTCTACCAATTTCTCTTTTCAAAACAAATTTTTAAACTTTTTTGCTTTGTAAATTAAATTCACCCTTCCTCCCCAAATCCAGGCCCAAGCTTTTATTTATACAAAGGGAAATTCCTCTACCAGCGTGGAGACAGGCCAATCCCCTTAAATATTTGCTGTAAGTCTGATCCCTAAGTCTCTCTGACAGTTAACAGCTAGTGACATTCCTGAGGAGTCCTGTAGCAAGAGCAGTGGGACCTTCCAGTTAATGATCTCTCCAAGACTTGTCCTGTGTTCCCCATGTCCATGAGTCGGTTCTGGTCACCATGCAAAAGTCCCCTCAAGATGGCAAATGGGGGAGCGGTGGGCACGTGTGGGGTTCACCTGGTTGGTCCTTGTGCTTTTAAAATAGTGATCGTGCATTTACGTGAGGTTTGTAAGTCTTTGTTTCTCTTGCTTTTTAGGCAAGGCAAAGAGAAAAAATGAATGAAGAACATAATAAACGTTTATCAGACACTGTTGACAAGCTGCTTTCAGAATCTAATGAGAGGCTTCAACTTCATCTTAAAGAGAGAATGGCTGCTTTGGAAGATAAGGTAGGATATAGATAACATGGACATCCCTGGAGCTTTCCCACCCTCCACCAAAAGATTGCTCATCTGCCCCTGAGCAGGCGTGCGTAGGAATTCCCGAAAATGGGAATTTTTCTTTAAAGTGGAAAAGGTACACATAGTTAGCCAGTCACTGAATTAACTGATTGTTTGCCATGGCCACGCCCCATTTGCATGTATGGGAAGTTATCTTGCTTACTCTCTAGAATGGGAGTAGGTAAGTGATTTTTATAAAGGGCCAGATAGTAAATATTTTAGGCTTTTAGTAATTAGGAGTAATGAAATAATTGTATGCCAATCAAGTAATTAGCACAAAAGCAGCCATAAGTAACATGTAAATGAACGGGTGTGGTTATGTTCCAATAAAATTCATTTGCAGAAACAAGCAGTGGGCTGGATTTAGCTGTCAGGTCCTAGTTTGCCACCCCTTGCACTAGAATCATTTTGTGGGCCCCACCCTCACCCCTTTATTGTTCATGCATTAGAAGTTAAGTTCTGGCTGGGCAAGGTGGCCCACGCCTATAATCCCAGCACTTTGTGAGGCCAAGGCAGGCAGATCAGTTCGGGCCAGGAGTTCAAGATCAGCCTGGCCAATATGACCAAATCCCGTCTCTACTATGAAAGTACAAAAATTAACCAGGCCTGAGGGCATCTGCCTGTAGTCCCAGCTACTCAAGAGGCTAAGGCGTGAAAATCCCTTGGAGGTGAAGGTTGCAGTGAGCCGAGAGTGTGCCACTGTCCTTCAGCCTGTGTGACAAAGCAAGATCCTGTCTCAAAAAAGAAAAAGAAAAATTTCTGTGTCGTTTATAAACAGGACACTTAGGGAGTATGGTGTACTGGCAAGGGTTCAATCAACGGAAACCAAATGGAGCCAAGGGATATCCTAGAATCTGTGTCAGAGAAGCTCTAATGAGCAGCAGCTGGATTCCAATTTGATAAAGCCTGTCCTGACTGCAGTGTCCCTAGAGATGAGGCCCAGAAGCTGCCCTGAGATTGGCTGTTAGGATTGGGGTCCTGCTCGTCTCAGAGACTAATGATTCCTGGTCACTGCATGACACATTTATTTACACAGTGCTGAGCATGGAGGACGTTTCCAGAGACCATAGTGTCACTATCCCACTCACCTCCTTGATCAGTGGGTCAGCCTTAACAGGGCGGTGTTTTTTATCTTTGATTTTAGTTATACATTTGAAACTTAAATTCAGGTTTCCCAAGTGACCAAGGAATTATAAAGTCTAAAAGTTAGTATCAGCCAGTTTAACTGGTTAAAATGAACGTAGAAAGTTGAGTCAGTGAGGAGTAGCTGTTACGTTAGTAAGACACATGATGAGAAGGTGTCGTCGCAGCCTCACCGTCTAACTCTGGAACTGTAGCAGTGCTTGCTGGTGTGCTCTTCTGCGCCGTTCCCTTTCTGTGCTACTTTATTTTTATTTTTTAACAAATACAGCTATGCTATATATTTAAATGGGACATTTTTTAAGAAACACTAAAGGACTATCTGTCTTTTTCAGAATTCTCTACTAAGAGAAGTTGAGAATGCAAAAAAGCAATTAGAAGAAACACAACATGACAAGGTACTGAAGTCTTCTCTAAATCCATTAAGAGCCCAGAGAACTGAGTTGATGAGGATAATGGTTACTATAGGTATCTGGCAGAGTGGATATAACTTGGTTTGTGGCTCTCAGAATCCACTGCCATAAGTTTCTAGGCTTGTATGTTGATTGCCTGTGTATTTCAGGTGTATTTTGAGTCTTGCTATGCATACGTTCAGAAATTCGGAGTCCTTGCTGGGTTTATTTGAAGCTAAAATAGCATCAATGACAGTGCTAGCCACCAGAAATATAATATGAGCTGCATATATAATGTTTATATTTCTAATAGTCACATTTTAGAAAGTTAAAAAAAAATAGGTAAAATCTATTTTATTTAATTCAGTATATCTAAAATATTATTGTTTCATAATGTGTTAATACAAACATAAATGGGCTACTTTACATTCTTTTTCTGCTGTGTATTTCATAGTCACAGCACATCCCCATTTGGACTAACCCATTACAAGGGCTCGGTAGCCACATGTGGCCAGTATTGAACAGCACAGCTCTAGAAACGAGATCAAGTGTACCATGACGCAGGGATGAATGCATACTTGATACTTGATGTGAGATAACCACAATACAGAGACGCACAGGAGAAAGTAAATATTCTTCCCCTTTGCCCCTGAAAGAGTCTGCTTCTCTGCAAAACTAATAATTGTTAATGGTTTGGTGTTTATCCTCTTCAAAGCTCTTCTGTGACTAGGACCCAGCTTGTCATTCTTTAGGGCTTACAAAGTGAACATGGCAGTCTGAGTGTTTATGTTTACTTCAGTGCTCTGGGAGAAACTTTTCCCAGAACTAAAATGTTTGGTGTTTGTGACTGCTGGCGTGTCCTCTGATGCTCATGCCCAACATCTGAGCACACTTGAGCAGGTGGTTTTACAATCTGAAAGAGCAGTAAGGGAAGATTTTTGCTCTTTTGTAGGATCAGCTTGTCCTAAACATTGAAGCATTGAGGGCCGAACTAGACCAGATGAGACTAAGAGGTGCTTCACTTCATCATGGGTATGGTATTAACCAGTGAGCAGCCTGCTGTCAACCCCTGTTGTCTGTATACAAGGGGCCTAGTTCTAGCTGTGTGGGCAGACTAACTGGATGTGGCTGGTGGTGTGACCTCAAGGAGCCTGTAGCTTAGCAGGCAGCAAGAGGGAAGAGTCAAATAACGCAAAGCTTAGAGCTTGGTACTGAGGAGACACATCATTGGCAAAACTCAAAAATACAGGCAGAGTTTTGGAAGGTGGGGAGTGATGAGCGAATATTTGGATATAGTAATTTAGGTGCCCGGCAGTTTGACACTGCTGATGTAAGAGCAGGGTGACAGATCCCCAGATCTCACACACAGATGCTGGCACGGGTGGATAGTTGCAGAGCAGTTGAGGGCCAGCAGTGAAGCATGGCTGTGTTTTTCATCAGCCCTGGGAAAGTGGAGCAGAAATGCAGAGCCGGACACCTGGACCCAAGGGGAGGTCTCAGGGGATCCGGGTCTCTCCCGTCCTCGGCAGCTGGGCTCCTTGTGGCTCATCTCCATGGCCATCTGCACAGCTTTCCACCTGGTAGGGCTGAGAGAGTAAACTGTTGGCCTGGAGTGGGCAACATGTAGCTCTTGGGGTAAGCGAGAGCTGTGCCCTCCTTGGAGACCTTTTCCAAATGGTTAGTTTCTGCCTTGACTGAGATTCAGAGTTTCCTTCGTTTTCTTCTAATCATGAGCATTCTTGTTTTTTATGTTTCAGCCGACCCCACTTGGGCAGTGTCCCAGATTTCAGGTTCCCCATGGCAGACGGTCACGCAGACTCCTACAGCAGCAGCTCGGTGCTGCGGCGCCCCCAGAAAGGCCGCCTGGCTGCCCTTCGAGATGAGCCTTCCAAGGCAAGGTCTTTGTGTGAGATCCCTCTGCTTTACCCTGTGCTTTTGAGACTGCTTTGGAATAAACATGTTGATAGGTCATTGCTTTCTTGCTCTCCCCTCATTTTCTGTTTTCTGGCTAAGAGTTTAGCTTTTAGAGCATTTTTTAAAAATAGCGTTTTTGTTTTTGTATTTTTTAAGGGATAGGGTCTCTGTTGCTTAAGCTGGTCCTGAACTCCTGGCCTCAAGCCATCCTCTTGCCTTGGCCTCCCAAAGTGCTGGGGTTATCAGCGTGAGCCGCCATGCCTGGCCTCTGTAGTTTTTTTTTTTTCCTCTTTTAATAGAAATTCTTATAAAAATAGTCACTTTTAAATATAATGATAATAAATATGGATTTAGAGTACTGATTAAAAACAAATGAGTAGGCCGGGCACAGGTGGCTCACATCTGTAATCCCAGCACTTTGGGAGGCTGAGGCGGGTGGATCACCTGAAGCCAGGAGCTTGAGCCCAGCTTGGGCAACATAGGGAAACCCCTGTCTTTATTTTAAAAAAAAGAAAAAAAAAAATTAGCTGGGTGTGGTACTGTGTACCTGTAGTCCCAGCTACTCAGGAGGCTTAGACAGAAGGATCCTTTGAGCCCAGGAGATTGAGACCAGCCTGGACAACATAGTAGAACCCTGTCTCTACAAATACAGAAATTAGCAGCTGGGCGGGCGGCTTACGCCTGTAATCCCAGCACTTTGGGAGGCCGAGGTGGGCAGATGACAAGGTCAGGAGTTCAAGACCAGTCTGGCCAACATAGTGAACCCCATCTCTACTAAAAATACAAAACATTAGCCAGGAGTGGTGATGTGCTGGGCCTGTAATCCCAGCTACTTGGGAGGCTGAGGCAGGAGGATTGCATGAACCTGGGAGGCAGAGGTTGCAGTGAGCCAAGATTGTGCCATTGTACTCCAGCCCAGCAACCTGAGCAAAGGTGCAAGACTCTGTCTCAAAAAAAAAAAAAGCTGGGCATGGTGGCATGCACCTGTAGTCCCAGCTACTCTGGGGGCTGGGGTCAAAGGATCCTTTGAGCCAGGGAAGTCAAGGCTGTGGTGAGCTATGATTGCACCACTGCACTCTAGCTTGGGCAACAGAATAAGACCCTGTTTCTAAAAAATAAAAGAAGTAAATGAATACATATATTCCTCATTTAGTGAAAAGAATTCAACTTTGAATGTTTAAACACCTTCTTGCTTTGTTCACCTGCATGTGTTTTGAAACACCTAAGTATAATTTTAGCCCGCATATTCATTGAACAGCTAGTTTGGTCCAGGCCCCATTACAGAACTGTGTAGACCTAGGGCTGCAGCAGTGTGTAGTGAAACAGGAAGAATACCTCCATCCCAGAGGACACAGGCCGTCCACAGATAAAGTCTAGTAGTGTGCGTTCGTTGACTCTTTGTATGTAACAAATCACTATGGAGCTCAGTGGCTTAAAACAGTGAACATTTCGTAGTTCATAACTCTTGTGAGCCCAGGAGCAGCAGAGCAGGACAGTCCTGGTTCTGTCTGGCAAGGCTGCAGCCACAGAAAGACCCACTGGGGCAGGAGGCCTCGGGGCCATCACCTACTTGGACCTGGCCACAGGGCTGCTCTAGGGTCCTTGCATTGTGATACAAGCAGCCCACACTCTAGGAGAGGGCGAGAAGGAAGTCCCACAGCCTTTCCAGTCCTGGTCTTACAATCCACCACCTTCACTTCCTCTCTGTTCTGTTCATTTGAGTGAGGTGCTAAGTCTTGCCCACATTCAGGGTTTGGGTTTGGGGCAAGAATCATCCTCCACCTCTTAAAGGGATGAGTGTGTTTGTGGATGTATTTTTAAACCATCCCATTATGTCAGATGGTGATACACACAGAAGTGGGACTCGGTGTAGGGTAAGGAGGGGAATACGGATTTTAATAGAGATGCCAAGGACACGGTATGGGGAGGGTGACGTCTGCGCAGGGACATGAAGGAGGAAGGAGAAGGAACACATGCAGAGCGTTCAGTGTATTGTTGTGGAGCATCAACAAGACCTACTGAGGGATGGGATCCAGGGCGAGAAGGAAAGATTCGAGTCAGAGGTGACTCCAATGGTTCGGGCTTGAACTGCTGGAAGGATGGAGTCTGTTTCCTGAGACGAGGAAGACTTGGCTTGGGGGAAACTAGGAACTGAGCCAGGGCCGTGTTCAGGTGGACAGGACTATCAGCTGTCTGGGGTGGTGGCAGGTTGGCTGTTGAATATTCCAGTCTGGAACCTAAGAAAGGAACCTAGAACTAGAGATGAAAATTAAAGCATCTTGAGTGTGTGGGTGGTATTGAGAAACGTGAGACAAGATGACATCATCCCATGGATGCCTGTGGATGGAGACGAGGCATAAGAATGGAGCTCTGGGGCACTCCAAGACTATTGGTGGGGAGACTGGGAAGGAATGAGACCAGGCATGACCAGCGAGGGGTAGGGTCCTGGGACCAAGTGGGCACGGTGCTCAGGGAAGAGAGGAGAGCAGCGGAGCCCGACTTACTGATGGGCCAGGTCAGGTGGGAGACGGGACCAAGGGACAGCTGGTAGCCTTAGTGATGGGGAGTGCATTGGAACTGCCACAGAATAGCCCAGCTGGCGGGGGAGTAAGCGCTCAAAGCTGGCCTGCAGCAAGGTCTGGAGAAGTGGGGAGAGGCAGACAGCGTGGAGGCGGCTCACTGGGATCTTTTACTCTAGTTGAGAGCAGAGCAGCGGAGGGGTAGGTGAAAAGAGGCCCGGGTGGGGTGGGGGGAAAGGCCTTGGTTTCTGCCATGGTGTTTTAAGGTGAGATGGGGGAGAAAATGTCCTTGTGCTAATGGGACGAGCCAGTGGAACTTGCTTACCCAGAGAGGGAGCCGTGATGGCCGGAGATCCGGTGTGAGCCAGGGCTTGAGGCTGCTGCCCAGCAGGTGGAGCTGGCCTCAGAGAGGACGGCCAGGTGCAGGCTCTGGTTTTGTCTCATGAAATGGGAAGGTTGTGAGTGAGAATGGGAGAAGAGGTGTTAAGGGCTTGAAGAGTGAGGCGGCATGAAAGAATCACACGTCGGGGGATTGCGTAGGTCCCGGCACACACTTTCCCTGTGCATTCTGATGGCACATGTGTAGCTGTCCGCCCTGCTACAGCAACCAGCGTGCCTGGCAGTGTACAGTGGCTGGACCCCATGCTCATTTGCTCACACACCCTTTGCCACTCCGTACCTGGCTCCCCTTTCGCAGGTGTGAGATCCAGGCCAGTAGCATGAGCCAAGTCCAGCCTGCCAGGCCAAGTGGGCGGAACAAGCCCAGTGGGCGTGAGTAATACTCAGGCAGAAAGAGCCGCCTGCCGCAGAGGTTTCTGGTTGCCGAATCGACATCCCAAGGATCTCTTGACAGTTACAGCCCCTGCTTCTAGATAAACAGTGAAGAAAAGGAAAACTACATCAAATAACCCACCCTTCAGACATTGCTAGTGTTAACTTATTACCAGTTTTTTTCTGATGTATGTGTATATCACATGTGTATTAAATTCTATATAGTTTTATATCTTAGTTCTTTGCTAAATGCACTTTCAGAAAAAAAAACCTAAGACCACAATGTATATGCTCCTTTACAACTTTGTACTCATTTAAAATATGTAATGAGCTTCTGTCCAGCTCAGTAGTTCTGCTGCTTTCTTTTATTGACTGACATCCATTGTCTTATCATATGGACACACTGTAATTTGCTCAGCCACTTCTCTTTTAATGAACATTGTATTATTTACAATCCTTCGTTATTAGAAACAATATCGTATTGAACAGCCTTAGACTTAAAGCTCTGTACTCATAGGCAAATATTTCAGTAAAGCAAATTTGTAAGAGTGAAATTGCAAAGTGAAAATGCTTATTTTAAATATTCAGAGATTTCATAGATTACCCTTCAATAAACCTTTAACAATATAAAAAAAAAAGTCAGGCGTGGTCGCTCAGCGCAGAGCTGCTGGTGCCGTACGTGCTGCAGTTCTCGGAGCTTGCCGTCGATTCTCTGGGTTGCTGTTGCCCTTCTTTCCTCATTTCGGGCTTGGGAGCGCCAGACTCAGGAAGGGCAGGATGTGGACACACAGGTTGGTTAGAGGGTACTTGGAAACACTTATAACATTTACAGCAACTGAGTGACACCAGTCGATATGGATGTAAATATTTTTTATAACTTTCTAGTACCATGTCTAACTGGAGCACAGAAACGTTTTTTTATTGGTCCATGTTAGATATACATGTTTGGGGGATATATGTGATAATTTGGTACATTCATATAATTCCATCAGAGTAATTGGGATCCCCGTCACCTTACGTATTTCTCTTTTCTTTACACTAGGAACATTGGCATTATTCTCTTGCAGCGATTTTGAAATGTATACCTATTTTATTTTATTTTATTTTGAAGCAGAGTCTCTCTGTCCCCCAGGCTGGAGTGCAGCGGCACAGCCTCAGCTAACTGCAACTTCCACCTCCCACATTCAAGCAATTCTTCTGCCTCAGCCTTCTGAGTAGCTGGGATTACAGGCATGAGCCACTACGGCTGGCTGATTTTTGTATTTTTCGTAGAGATAGGGTTTTGCCATGCTGGCCAGGTTGGTCTCAAACTCCTGACCTCAAGTGATCCACCCACCTCAGCCTCCCAAAATGCTGGGTTTACAGGCGTGTGCCGCCACACCCGGCCTGTGTCACCTAGTCATGTTAACTCTAGTCACCCTGCAGTCCCACACCAGGTCTCATTTCTTCTAAGTGGGTACTTGCAGCCATTGATCAGCCCTCTTCATCTTCCCCTCCCTACCCTTTCTGGCTGGTTTTCCGTTTTTGTTTGTAACTTGTCTCCCAGTTATGTATTTTGTCATGTGAATGCCATGTATCCATGTTAGGGTGTTAATATCACAAAGGTCCAAGGAATGGATTGTTGCCCTCCCCAATTTCTTAAATACTGCTTGCTTCGGCTGGGCGTGGTGGCTCACGCCTGTAATCCGAGCACTTTGGAGGCCAAGGCAGGCGGATCACCTGAGGTCGGGAGTTAAAGACCAGCCTGACCAACATGGTGAGACCCTGACTTAAAAAAAAGAAAAAAAAATACTGCTTACTTCATGTCACTACCTTATAAGCCTGGCCCATCTTTCTAAAATCTTTTGGGTTTTCATTTAAGTTTCTAAATTTAAGTTTCTACAACTAATGTTGTTACTTTGTCTGCTGAGATTTGGTTTTCTTCTTTATAGGTACAGACTCTTAATGAGCAGGATTGGGAACGTGCCCAGCAAGCTAGTGTCTTGGCAAATGTAGCACAAGCATTTGAGAGTGATGCTGACGTGTCTGATGGTGAAGATGACAGGGACACTCTTCTCAGCTCAGTTGACCTGCTGTCTCCCAGCGGGCAGGCCGACGCGCACACGCTAGCCAGGATGCTTCAGGAGCAGCTGGACGCTATCAACAAAGAGATCAGGTGTGTGTGGCCATGCAGGACACGCTCCACATGCATGGGTGTCTCTGAGGAATCTCATCCTGCCTGGAAAAGCCTGGAACACGTACTGTTAACATTTTCTAAGTGTTCCAAAACAATAGAACTTACTTAACTTCTGTTTTAAGAATTTTAAGTTCTGAAATTGCCCTTGGATATAAAATTCAAGTAACCTGGGCACTCTCCCCAGTCATGGCACTGGCACCTTTGTGTAGGACATTGTGGGACCTAAGAGGTGTTCAGTCCGTCCCTCGAGAACCTCAGCACATAGCTGGAGGGCACTGGAGGGGCTCTGGACCTGTCCGGCTCCTACCGCTGTCCTGAAAGCTGCACCCGGAAGGCTACGTGAGCTGAGCACACATCTGGAGGAGGCGGATGGGCCTGCCTCCCTGACCTGGAGTGCAGATGAAAGGTGCACGGCGGTGGGCTGGGAAGACATGGCGGGCGAAGTGTAGCCTGCCTTGGTTGAGCAGCAATGGATGCCTCCGCAGGCAGGGGCCACTCACTAGAAAGACCAGCACTCAGACCACCTGCACGCTGGAGCGGGCGCACATGGTGGGAAGGGAGAGGGAGGGTTGCTTATCTCCCGCCTTCTGGCTGAGCGCCCTTCCTTGACCCTGAACCCCGCTGTGTGTGCAGCCCGTGCACAGAAGAGGCTGTGTATAGTGTGCCCATCTGACCCTTGCTTGCTTGGGTCCCATCACACAGTGGCCTGGACAGAACACGGGAGTTTTCAGGCGTGCGTGCTCCACCCCAGTGTGCCGTTCCCTGTGTGCAGTTAACATGGACAGCCAGTGGTCAAAGGGGGTGTGATGAATCTTTTTAGTCTCATCACTATTTTGAAGGGTTTTTCTTTAGCAACTTTAGCAGTTATAATACAAAATTTACAAAACAGGGCCAACTGTAGAATGGAATCCAAGAATTACCTTTATGTTGATGAAGAGACAGGTAACCCTTGCCCACACTGGCTTGGTCTAGGGACACAGCAGTGCAAACAGGGGGTGCCCAGGATCTACTCTTGGGCCCTGGCCTGACCTGGCCACTTGGCCAGCCTAAATCCAAGTGAGGAGCAGCTGTGTGCATAGAGTCACATGGCGGGTCTGGGTGGGCTGCTCCCAGGATGTGGATCTGAAGTTTACATGGGTGGCAGTGCCTGTCCTGGTCAGAGAGAACAGGAGGTAAAGAAGATAAGGTTGACTGGGCACGGTGGCTCAAGCCTGTAATCCCAGCACTTTGGGAGGCCGAGGCGGGTGGATCACGAGGTCAAGAGATTGAGACCATCCTGGTCAGCATGGTGAAACCCCGACTCTACTAAAAATACAAAAAATTAGCTGGGCATGGTGGCGCGTGCCTGTAATCCCAGCTACTCAGCAGGCTAAGACAGGAGAATTGCCTGGACCCAGGAGGCGGAGGTTTCAGTGAGCTGAGATTGTGCCATTGCACTCCAGCCTGGGTAACGAGCAAAACTCAGTCTCAAAAAAAAAAAAAAGAAGAAGACAAGGTTAAGAAAAACATCAACAAGAGCTGTATTACTCCAGCTTTGTTTAGATTAAAAAGAAAAAAAAAAAATAGGGCTGTACGTTTTGAAGTAAGAAGTTGGTGTGCCGCCTATGTTTTTGACTTTATAAACTCATATTTCTTGTGCCATGTTTAAAACTGGTGAAGAGGGCCCCTCCCTGCAGCAGTCTGTTGCTGAGCATGGGGGCCCTTTTAAGAGGATGTGCAAATAATGAATGTGATGAGACATTCAGAAAGATAGTCTTTCCTCGTCATCATGGGAGCCATGAGAGGACTACCTACCTTTAGTTCTTCCTCTTTATGATGCATTGCTAGATAAAAGGCCTTTCTCTTTATGCAGAAAGTTGGCCTGCTGTAAATGTTCTGTTCACTGACTTGTGGATTTTCTTCTGTTAATAATGATCAAAAAGCACTTTTCTTAGAAATGTAAGTAGAACTTTAATTGGAAGGGTTGTTGCAGGGTTTCTATATTTTTTTTAATACTAGAATAATTATTATTGGCACAGTCAGATATTGAAACTGCCGTTTAGTGGTCGATGACACTCTCAGATAAAAGAGCATTAATCTTGAATTCCAAGTTAATGTAGCATGGCTGGCATGAATCCAGAAATTTACATAAGGATGGTAGAGAATCCCATCACATGACACTCTGGTTCAAATTTAAACTAAAAAAACCAACTCAATGTTTTCTTTTTTTTTCTTTAATTTATATATATATAAATTATATATAAAATTTACATATATATATAAATTTTTAAAAGTTAATTTATATATATTTATATATCAATTAAAAATTGAACTACAAATATTATATATATACTATTGCACTTTAGGTTCTGGGGTACATGTGCAGAACATGCAAGATTGTTGCATGGGTACATATATGGTAATGTGATTTGCTGCCTCCATCCCCGTCACCTATATCTGGCATTTCTCCCCATGTTATCCCTCCCCAACCTCCCTACCCACCACTGTTCCTCTCCTAGTCCCCCGCAACAGACCCCAGTGTGTGAGGCTCCCCTCCCTGTGTCCATGTGTTCTCATTGTTCAACACCTGCCTATGAGTGAGAACATGTGGTGTTTGATTTTCTGTTCTTGTGTCGGTGTGCTGAGAATGATGGTCTCCAGGTTCATCCATGTCCCTACAAAGGATATAAACTCATCATTTTTGATGGCTGCATCGTATTCCATGGTGTATATGTACCACATTTTCCTTGTCCAGTCTATCATCGATGGACATTTGGGTTGGTTCCAGGTCTTTGCTATTGTAAACAGTGCTGTAGTGAACATACATGTGCACGTGTCTTTATAATAGAATGATTTATAATTCTTTGGATATATACCCAGTAATTGGATTGCTGGGTCAAATGGAATTTCTATTTCTAGGTCCTTGAGGAATCACCACACTGTCTTCCACAATGGTTGAACTAATTTACACTCCCACCAGCAGTGTAAAAGTGTTCCTGTTTCTCCACATCCTCTCCAGCATCTGTTGTCTCCAGATTTTTTAATGATCGCCATTCTAATTGGCGTGAGATGGTATCTCAATGTGGTTTTGATTTGCATCTCTCTGATGACCAGTGATGATGAGCATTTTTTCATATATTTGTTGGCCTCATGTGTGTCTTCTTTTGAAAAGTGTCTGTTCATGTCCTTCGCCCACTTTTGAATGGGTTTGTTTTTTTCTTGTAAATCCGTTTTAGTTCTTTGTAGATTGTGGATATCAGCCGTTTGTCAGATGGGTAGATTGCAAAAATTTTTTCCCATTCTGTTGGTTGCTGGTTCACTCTAATGATTGTTTCTTTTGCTGGGCAGATCTCTGGAGTTTAATTAGATACCATTTGTCTATTTTGGCTTTTGTTGCCAATGCTTTTGGTGTTTTTGTCATGAAGTTGTTGCCTGTACCAATGTCCTGAATGTTTTTGCCTAGGTTTTCTTCTAGGGTTTTTATGGTGTTAGGTCTTATGTTTAAGTCTTTAATCCATCTGGAGTTAATTTTAGTGTAAGGTGTCAGGAAGGGGTCCAGTTTCTGCTTTCTGCACATGGCTAGCCAGCTTTCCCAACACCATTTATTAAACAGGAAATCCTTTCCTCCCTGCTTGTTTTTGTCAGGTTTGTCAAAGATCAGATGGTTGTACATGTGTGGTGTTGCCTCCGAGGCCTCTGTTCTGTTCCATTGGTGTATATCTCTATTTTGGTACCAGTACCATGCTGTTTTGATTACTGTATCCTTGTAGTATAGTTTGAAATCAGGTAGCATGATGCCTTCAGCTTTGTTCTTTTTGCTTAGAATTGACTTGGCTATGCAGGCTCTCTTTCGGTTCCATATGAAATTTAAGGTGTTTTTTCCATTTCTGTGAAGAGAGTCATAGGTAGTCTGATGGGGATAGTGCTGAATCTGTAAATTACTTTGGGCAGTATGGCCATTTTCACAATATTGATTCTTCCTAACTATGAGCATGGACTGTTTATCCATCTGTTTGTGTCCTCTCTTATTTCCTTGAGCAGTGGTTTGTAGTTCTTGAAGAGGTCCTTTACATCCTCTGTTAGTTGTATTCCTAGGTATTTTTTATTCTTTTTGTAGCAATTGTGAATGGCAATTTGTTCTTGATTTAGCTCTCTTTCAGTCTGTTATTGGTATATAGGAATGCTTGTGATTTCTGCACATTGATTTTGTATCCTGAGACTTTGCTGAAGTTGCTTATCAGTTTCATTCAGGAGTTTTTGGGCTGAGACGATGGGGTCTTCTAGGTATACTATCATGTCGTCTGCAAATAGAGACAGTTTGGCTTCCTCCTTTCCTATTTGAATACCCTTTATTTCTTTTTCTTTCCTGTTTGCTCTGGCTAGAACTTCCAGCACTATATTGAATAGGAGTGGTGAGAGAGGGCATCCTTGTCTAGTGCCAGATTTCGAAGGGAATGCTTCCAATTTTTTTCCCATTCACTAAGATATTGGCTGTGGGCTTGTCATAAATAGCTTTTATTATGAGATACGTTCCTTTGATACCTAATTTATTGAGAGTTTTCAGCATAAAGGGCTGTTGAATTTTGTCAAAGGCCTTCTCTGCGTCTTTTGGGGTAATCATGTGGTTTTTGTCTTTGGTTCTGTTTATGTAGTGAATTATGTTTGTAGACTTGCATATGTTGAACCAGCCTTGCATCCCTGGGATGAAGCCTGCTTGATCATGGTGGATAAGCTTTTTGATGTGCTGTTGCAATCGGTTTGCCAATATTTTGTTGAAAATTTTTGCGTCTATATTTATCATGGATATTGGCTTGAAGTTTTCTTTTCTTGTTGAGTCTCTGCTGGGTTTTGGTATCAGGATGATGTTGGTCTCATAAAATGATTTGGGAAGGATTCCTTCTCTTTGGATTATTTGGAATAGTTTCAGAAGGAGTGGTACCAGCTCCTCTTTGTATGTCTGTTAGAATTTGGCCGTGAACCCATCTGGACCTGGGTTGGGTTTTTTTGCTTGGTAGGCTATTAATTGCTGCCTCAACTTCAGCCCTTGTTATTGGTCTATTCAGGGTTTCGACTTCTTCCTGGTTTAGGCTTGGGAGGACACAAGAGTCCAGGAATTTATCCATTTCCTCCAGGTTTACTGGTTTATGTGCATAGAGTTGTTTGTAGTATCTCTGATGGTAGTTTATATTTCTGTGGAATCTGTGGTGATATCCCCTTTATCGTTTTTTATTGGGCCTATTTGATTCTTCTTTCTTTTCTTTTTATTAATCTGGCTAGGGTCTGCCTATTTTGTTGATCTTTTCAAAAAACCAGCTCCTGGATTTATTGATTTTTTTGAAGAGTTTTTTTGTGTCTCTATCTCCTTCAGTTCTGCTCTGATCTTAGTTATTTCTTGTCTTCTAGCATTTGAGTTTTTTTGATCTTGCTCCTCTAGCTCTTTCAATTTTGATGATAGGGTGTCGATTTTAGATCTTTCCTTGCTTCTCATGTGGGCATTTATTGGTACAAATTTTCCTCTAGACACTGCTTTAAATGTGTCCCAGAGATTCTGGTATGTTGTGTCTTTGTTCTCATTGGTTTCGAAGAACATCTTTATTTCTGCCTTCATTTCATTGTTTATCCAGTCAATATTCAAGAGCCAGTTGTTCAGTTTCCATGAAGCTTATGAAGCCTAGTTTGGCTGGATATGAAATTCTATGTTGAAAGTTCTTTTCTTTAAGGATGTTGAATATTGACTCCTACTCTCTTCTGGCTTGTGGAGTTTCTGCTGAGAGATCCGCTGTGAGTCTGATGGGCTTCCCTTTGTGGGTAACCTGATTTCTCTCTGGCTGCCCTTAGGATTTTTTTCTTCTTTTTAACCCTGGTGAATCTGACGATTATGTGCCTTGGAGTTGCTTTTCTTGAGGAATATCTTTATGGTGTTCTCTGTATTTCCTGAACTTGAATATTGGCCTGCCTTGCTAGGTTGGGGAAGTTCTTCTGGATAATATCCTGAAGAGTGTTTTCCAGCTTGGATGCATTCTCTCTGTCACGTTCAAATACACCTATTAAACGTAGATTAGGACTTGTCACATAATCTCATATTTCTTGGAGGCTTTATTCATTTATTTTTACTCTTTTTTCTCTACTCTTGCCTTTTCATTTTATTTCATTGAATTGATCATCAATCTCTGATATCCTTTCTTCTGCTTAGTCAATTCAGCTGTTGAAACTTGTGTATGCTTTGCGAAGTTTTCTTGGTGTGTTTTTCAGCTCCATCAATTCATTTGTGTTCTTCTCTAAGCTGTTTGTTCTCCTTAGCATTTCGTCAAACCTTTTCAAGGTTCTTAGTTTCTTTGTATTGGGTTAGAACATGTTCTTCTAGGTCAGAGAAGTTTGTTATTACCCACTTTCTGAAGCCTGTTTCTGTCAATTCATCAGACTCATTCTCCATCCAGCCTTGTTCCCTTGCGGGTGAGGAGTTGTGATCCCTTGGAGGAGGAGAGGCTTTCTGGTTTTGGGTGTTTTCATCCTTTTTGCACTGGTTTCTTTCCATCTTTGTGGATTTATCTACCTGCGGTCTTTGTAGTTGTTGACTTTCGGATGGGGTCTCTCAGTGGATATTCTTTTTGTTGATGATGAAGTTAGTTCTTTCTGTTTTTTAGTTTTCCTTCTAACAGGTCCCTCTGCTGTAGGACTGCTGGAGGTCCACTCCAGATCCTGCTTGCCTGGGAATCACTGCGGTGGATGTAGAACAGTAAGGGTTGCTGCCAGTTTCTTCCTGTTATCTTTGTCCCAGAAGGATACCCACCAGATGTCAGCCTGAGCTCGTCTTTATGAGGTGTCTCTTTGGATATACGGGGGTCGGGGAACTGCTTGAGGAGACAATCTGTCCCTTTTAGGAGCTCAAGTGCTGAGCTGTGAGCTCCATTGTTCCGTTCAGAGCTGCTGGGGAGGTATGTTTAAGTCTGCTGCAGCAGAACTCATCACCGCCTGTTTTTCCCTGCTGCTCTGTCCTGGGAAGCTGGGGCTTTATTTATAAGTTTCTGAACATGCTGCTGCCTTTTTTCAGAGATGTACTGCCCAGTGAGACAGTAGCCTAGTCAGTCTGCCAGCACAGGCATTCCTGAGCTGCTGTGGGCTCTGCCCAGCTGCTGTGTGAGCTTCCATGCAGTTTTGTTTATAAAGGCATAGTTAGAACTGCCTCGGTAATGGTGGACTGACTGCCTGGGTAATGGCAGACGCCCTTCCCCTACAGAGCTGGACCATCCTGGGTCCAGCTGTGCTTGCTGTGAAACTCTCAATCCAGAGCATTTCAGATTGCGGGTCTTTGTGGGGGTGGGACCTGCTGAGCCTGACCACCTGGCTCCCTGTTTCAGCCCCCTTTCTTTCAGTTGAATGGGCGACTCTGTCTCCCAGGCGTTCCAGGCGCCATTTGAAATGGCCGCCCAGATTTGTGTGAGTTTTTGTGCGGAGATCTGCTGCGCCGGCTGAAACAGCTGTGCTGGAGACCCGTGGCCCTTTTCCACCCAGGAATCTCCTGTTTGTGGGCAGTAAAATCTCATTTGGAAACGCAGTGATCATTCACCCTCTGTGTTCTCGCTGGGAACTGCGCTCCAGAGCTGTTCCTATTCTGCCGTCTTGGATCTTCTCTCAGTATTTTCATTTAGTCTAAACAGTTAAGTGTTTGGAAACTCCTAATTGCTTTGTAGATCTGTTCTTAACATTAGAGTTCTTGATTTCCAGTAGAAGAAATCTATAGAAGTCTACAACTTTTGCTCTAAGAATAGGGGAGATAAGGGTTATATAATTTTAAAACATTGCTTAGTAAGAAAATTATTAATTGCAGCCATAGGAAAAATTGCAATCTGGCCATCTCCAAAGTTTTAGTACAAATAAGTAAAATCAAGTAGGAATGATATCCAGAACCAACAGGACACAATGGAAGATTTCTCTTTTGTTGTTCTAAGATGTAGTATATTTAAAAAGCTTTAGGCTGGTGTGGTGGCTCCTGAAGTAATCCCACCACTTTGGGAGGAGGCTGAGGTTGCAGGATTGCTTGAAGCCAGGAGTTTGAGCCTACCCTTGGCAAAATAGGAGGACCTCATCTCTACAAAAACTTTTTGAAAAATGCGCCAGGCATGGTGGTGTGTACCTATGGCCCCAGCTACTTGGGAGGCTGAGGCGGGAGGATCCTTTGAGCTTAGGAGTTTGAGCCTGCAGTGAGCTGTGATCACACTCCTGCACCTCAGCCAGGATGACAGAGTGAGATCACCCTGTCTCAAAAAACATAAACATTAAAACAGAGTAGAACATTTTTGCTGAAGTGTTCATTGTTTGAGCAACTTATTATTGGAGTTAACCCATAGTAATACAGAGTGTAAGCCAGTTTTTTTCTTTTTTCCACACAAACACATTAATCTGTTTGCCAACACAGGAGGACTGACTGCTTTTGTTTTATTTTAGGTTGATTCAAGAAGAAAAAGAAAACACAGAGCAGCGGGCAGAGGAGATTGAAAACCGAGTTGGCAGTGGAAGTCTAGACAATCTTGGTCGTTTTAGATCAATGAGCTCCATTCCCCCATATCCTGCTTCCTCGCTTGCTAGCTCTTCCCCTCCCAGCAGTGGGCGCTCCACTCCACGAAGGATCCCTCACAGCCCAGCCCGGGAAGTGGACAGACTGGGTGTCATGACCCTTGTACGTATCCGCCCTTTCCCTGCTGTGGCTGCCCCAGCACACCTGTATGAGATCTTGGACACTACACATTTACCCACAAGAAAATCAAGTACATTTGTTTCTCTAAGAGGCTCAAGATGATAAAAGCTAGTTACTGTTTAATCATTTAGTTATGACAAATTAAGTTTAATATTTGGGGCCAGGCGTGGTGGCTCACACCTGTGATGCTCAGACTTTGGGAAATTGAGGTGAGTAGATCACTTCAGCTCAGGAGGTCAAGACCAGCTGGGCACCGTGGGAAAACCCCATCTTTACAAAAAGTAACTGGGCATGATGGCGTGTGCCTGAAGTACCAGCTACTCTGGAGGATGAGGTGGGAGGATCACCCGAGCCCAGGAGGTCGAGGCTACAGTGAGCCATGATTGTATCACTGCCCTCCAGCCTGGGCAGAGAGTGAAACCCTGTTTCAAACAAAAAAGTCTCAAAAGACATAAAGAAATTGTAATATTTGGATGACCAGGCTAGCATGCCACTATTTGTGTGACGTTAGGTACAATAGCTATGCAGAGTACAGCAGCCAGAAGGAGAAATATTTTCTGTTTTCTAGGAAAAAACACTTAGCAAAAGTAAATAAAGGCAGACAGACATCGGAGCATAAGGGAGACATTACAAAGGGAATCAGTGCATTTCTTTTCTGTAGGAGTGCCAAACTCCGTTCCAGGGCATGCACTACGAAAAAAACAGGAAAGAAGCCAAATGGGCTCTGCATGGAAAGCCATGAACAAGCCGGCTGCTGTGCACTTCCTCACAGCAGCTTAGGTCACCTCTGATCTCGAAATGCGATGCTTCTGGTGTCTGCTGTTTGCAAAGTGTGCAAATCTGAGGTGTGTTTAAAACTTTCTTGTGGGCCTGGCACGGTGGCTCACGCCTGTAATCCCAGCACTTTGCGAAACCAGGGTGGAAGGATTGCTTGAGCTAGGAGTTAAGAGACCAGCCTGGGCAACATAGAACCCCCATCTCTATTTTTTAAAAATTAAATATACAAGATAGTCTGGTTTTTTTATTTTAGTCTAGGATTTGTCAGTGTGTTGTCAATGAAATATTTCATATTTACAACACTCTGCTTTTTAACTGTGCTTCTGTCATATTTTTTCTCATTACCATCTATTTCCATTTTGGTTGTGTTGTTAGCCAGTGTGTAATTAAATCAACTGTGAATCATTTTAGTGGCATATGAGGTAGAAACTAGTCTATTTTGCAGTATTTTGTAATACTGTTTTTTATAATTTACATCATCTACTAATTAGGTAATATTTTAAACTCTCTGACTGTTTATTTGCGGTTTCATGCTTATTTTTGTCCAGAGAATTTGTAAAAACACTTGTTGATACCTATTTTCTCCTGCTTTGTAATTCCATGTGCTGGCTGGCAGTCTCTGTGCTGCTGCCACTGGTTCCATTTCCTGTCATCCTTTTGTCTTCTGATTTTAGCCATTTCCAGATTTATTTTTAATCCAGACCTCACATCCCATCAGTCTGTGGCTTACTTCTGCACCTCCCCTCCCAGCTCTTCCCCATGCTGTCACGATTCTTCATAGCATGCCCAGGGAACCATGCAGCTGTATGTGTTTCATCATGTGTGAGTCTGTGCTGTGATGACTTGATTAATGGGTTGTTGTTTTTTCTCTCAGTTAAACTATCTGTTTCTCGGGGCTGGGTGCGATGGCTCACGCCTGTAATCTCAGCACTTTAGGAGGCTAAGGCCTGTGGATCACCTGAGGTCAGGAGTTCGAGACTAGCCTGGCCAACATGGTGAATCCCATCTCTACTAAAAAAATACAAAAATTAAGCCGGGTGTGGTGGCAGGCACCTGTAATTCCAGCTACTCGGGAGGCTGAGGCAGGAGAATCACTTGAACCCAGGAGGCAGAGGTTGCAGTCAGCTGAGATTGCGCCACTGCTCTCCAGCCTGGGCGATAAGAGCAAAACTCTGTCTCAAAAAAAAAAAAGTCTTTTTCTCAATGGTAATAAATTTAAATTAGTGTATCACAAATAATAAGTGTGGATACAGGCAATCATAGCTGTTTTAGAGTTTTTTTACTCAAATTATGTAGGATTTGTGTAATTCATAAGTATTTCCTACATAAATAATCTCAGTGTAGAATTAATGGAAGCTCTTTACACAAACAATATGCTTTCTGGTTTTGATGATTGTACTCAAGATGGTGAATTTCATCAGCTCATTGAATCTCATCAACTACTGTCTCTAATAGACTGTTTTTAAATTAAAATATCTTACATGAATCGTAGGATGGATGTAAAGGTTCTACCTAATATTATGCTAGCTTTTTGTTCTTGTGTATTTTCACAGGATACCTTGCTTTAAGCAATAAATTTATTTTTGAGAAGTGATAAATCATATCTAGGTAAGGATTTTACATTAATTTCCAATAGGTAGTTAACTAACAAGCAGGTTGGTTGAGTTTTATAATCGGTATTGCAGTAACTTCCTCATCAGTTGGAATATTTTAAATTATAACATGGATTTTATTAAACAAAACTAAGTTATAGAGGTTTGGCTTAGAAGAGATAACTGTTAGGGCCTTTTATTATATAGAATGTCACATTTTAATAAAACTCATGACAAAATAGAATTTATCTAGTAATTTGTAGTGTTTAGTAAATCTTGAATAACTTATATTTAAATTTTTTGGTGAAAAAATGTTCTGCATCCAGTTACATTTTCTGTAAATTCTCCCTTCTGTCATTTCCATTTTAATACATTTGCTTATATTGATCCTTGAATTTTTAACTTCAAAATGTACAGTAAATCTGGTTTCTCTTCATTTCTTTGCATGCATCTATCAGCCTAGTGACTTAAGGAAACATCGTAGAAAGGTAAATTATTTAGTAATTTAATCCATCTTTGTATCTCCGTAATGTATTGAAGAGTACCTATTATATTTTACATAAATGTAGCATTATGTAGTTGTATAATAATGAATGGTTGGCATTTTAATGGAGGTGTTTGAAGTGACCCCATCTTACTGATGATTGTTCTGTTAGAAATTGGTCATTAGCAGTTTTCATAGAACCCTGGGACAAATGCAAGAGCTTGCCATTCTCTCACCTCTTCAGCCTTCTAATCATTACATGCTTATTCACGGTAGATGCAGTAGTTTTAAAAATAAGAAATGACTAGTGCAAATGACTAGATTGTAGATTTGGGGGCTCATTTTCACAATAATCACAGGTAGTGTTGGGCTCTTGCTGTACGCCGGGCACTGTGCTGAGTGCGCTCCCAGTCTGCTACAGGCTGAGTGTCTCTGAACTGAGATGCTCAGGGCCAGGGCTATTTCAGATTTGTTTGAATTTTTGAAATATTTGCATTACACTTACTGGGTGAGCCTCTGAAATCTGAAAATCCAAAATCTGAAATGTTCCATTGAACATTTCCTTCACGCGTCATGTTAGCACTCAAATTGTAGATTTTGGAGCATTTTGAATGGAAGGTTTTTGGATTTGGGATGCTCAGCCTGTATTTAATCCTCATACACATCCCTGTGAGATGTAGGTTACTGTTGTTATCCCCATTTTACAGATGTGGAAACTAAAGCTTAGAGAGGCCCCACAATGCAGAGTGCAGATTTGAGTTTGGCTGTGTCTGATTTCAGAACCTGACAGCTGCCACTTCCCCATGCAGCCTTACTTTTCTCGGATACTCTGACCTCCCTGGCAGCATTCCTACAGAGGAGGCCCACGGCCACTTCTCCTTATAGACAGCTGTGGATTGGGCCTTCCTGTTCTCACAGGAAGTAGAGTAGGTTAGGAGTAGCTGTGGTCAGTGGCTGTTCTTTATGTTGATCCAGAATCTCTGCCTCATGACTTTCAGGCTCTGGTCTGTGTTCTGTACCCCTGTCCAAAACCTGCCTGATGGTGCGGTGACTGGACAGCTCTTCAGTGCGCAAAGGCAGCTGTCAGAAGAGGGTGTGACTTGGTCAGCAGCTGTCCGTGGGCTGCTCTGCTGGGTGATTCCGTGAAACCGTTTGGGTTCAGATCCCAGTTCAGTCACTGATGAGTTTGTGACCTTGGTTTGCTTTCCTGAGAAGTGACGATAATGACAGAACAGTGGCACTTACGGTGGCCTTGGACCTGTGCCTGTCTGCGGTGAGACAAGGGGCTTATACCAGCAGCAGCAAGACAGAGCACGGCCTTCAGTTCAGCTGACTTCTGTTGGACTGTGTTTTCTTTCCTTGTCGATAGAAAGATTTGCTCGGTGAAGGAAGCAGCATGTTGGTTGACACATGCATGATAACCTGGGCCTGTTGGTCACTGGTCACTTCAGTGTGCTGCTTGGTGGCTTTGAGGAGCCTCGTCCTCTGGTGGTTGTGAGGTTAAACCAGGTGTATGTGCAGAGTGCCAGGCCTGGTGCCAGCCCTGGTCGACAGGAGACTGGCGCCTTCCTCCTCTGCGTCAGTGGTGGTGGTGTGCACTGAGAGGACTTCCCTGCGTTCTGGTGAGTCTGAGCCAGGATGGAGGCAGAGATCTGGCACGTCACTGCACCGCAGCATGCTGTAGGGGTGCGGAGGGCAGCGCTGGCCGGTCTCGAGGGGCTCTCCCCATGGACCCTGTTATTCATAGTTGACAGCAGGCCATGTCAGCTTGCTCTCTATCCTGTTCTGGTTTTGTTTTTTAAACAAATGATTGTTTTAACCTGGATTTTGAAACTTAAGCTTCATTTTGATAATTTCTAGGTATGAAAGCTCTTCGTTGTCTTGTGGTTACAATTGGGAATTAGGAAATGTTGCAGGATTCATTTGCATTTTAACTGTTAGTATGAGCGCAGCTCCATTTTGCATGCATGTACTTGGTCTTCACTGAGCTGCCGTGGGGCTGTGGTAGGATTGATATACTTTACACAGTCCCATTTAAAAAGCCGAAGTTCAAGCTGAGCCCAGTGGTACGTGCTTATAGTCCCACCTTGAAGGCCGAGGCAGAAGGATTACTTGAACCCCGGAGTTCGAGGCTGTAGTGCACAATGATCACGCCTGCAGATAGCCCCTGCAGTCCAGCCTGGGAATCGTAGCAAGAACCTGTCTCTTAAAAATTAAATAAAATGTGGTTCACTGTTCAGGCCTTAACTGTTCATAGTAATGCTTGCTGAACACGTTTCATGAAATCTAGTCCCATTTAAAACCACAAAACACAAACGTATAAGCAGGATCTGCCCAGACCCTGAAGAGGTGAGTCTGTTACCACCGTCCTGTTCCCTCAGCACACAGGCATATTCATGTTCCACTGCAGAAACAAAAACCCTGGGAGTCCGACAGAGATCATCTTTTAATGATGAGCCTGGGAGTATTTTCTTTTAAGCCAATTTTAAACTGCATAGAAGTGCTTCAGTTTATAGTGTCCAATCCAAACATTATTGAGAAATACGAGTTATACACGCGTATGGGGGGATGATCATGGGCTGTTCCTTGTTTATTTTCTTTCCCTTTCAGACAAAAAGGTATTTGACAGTTTTGCCCAAGAGATTTCTGCTCTCTGCGGTTTTTTGTTTTTTTGTTTTGAAAGACCTCAGGAGATAAACATTGTTAGCTCTTCATTTGTCTAACATTCGTAACGGTGCGGTTTATAGGCATTGTTTAGATCTCTGCTGCCCCATTAGTGACTGTCCTCATAATGTGCCTAGGATTCCAGGGAGGGCGGAACCTTGGGCTGCATGGAGGAGGCTGAGGCTGAGGGGCATCCCTGTGTCCTGCCGGGCACCAGTGCACGTAGACTAGGAGTCTTACGGCTCTGTGCTTGCTGTACTGCGTGGCTCTTCAGAATGGTGCCATACTGAAACAAGACTTTCTGTGCTGGCAGAAAGCGCAGCAAATCAATTTTCAAAGAAGTTGATGGTTATAATTTAAGGCCTGATTTTTTTTTCACAGTCTGCCGTTAACAGTATGCTTTTCCCACCCCTCAGCTGCCAGCTTCCAGAGAAGAGGTACGAGACGACAAGACAACTATCAAGTGTGAAACCTCCCCGCCTTCCTCCCCCAGAGCCCTTCGGTTAGACCGGCTGCACAAAGGGGCACTGCACACCGTCAGCCACGAGGACATCAGGGACCTACGGAAGTAAGGAGCCTGCAACAGCCCCGTGCGGAGCCTACCTGTCCTTTCCTTTCCAGTGTTGAGAAATCTGGGAATCTTTTCTTGAAGAAAACAGTGATTTTCTAGAATGAGCTGTTAATTCAGATGAGTGTATTTACATATTACACTTAGAATGCCCACATTGCCCTGTGCTTTAGTGACATCCAGCAGAAGATGCACATGTGTTTGGGAAAGCTTCGTTTAGAAAGAAAGGAGTTAAGTGATATCAGCAAATTTTAGAAAAACTTAACATCTTCAGAGTCTACACACTGACTACTTTCTATTCTTGGTGGAGAGTTTGGCAAGCAAATGACAGGCTTGGGATCAGATCCGCTCTCTAGGACAACCCATGCCTCTCAGATGCCCTCTTGTGCCTTTTGTAGGCCGTTGAGAGTTCTATGTTGTACTTTACCCACTTATTAAGTGTCTTCTCTCAGGAAACCAGTCAGCTATTTTGTTACTAGTACGCTGTCTTTTTTAAAACTCTGTTGGATTTTGGTTCCGTACCAGGCAGTACGCAAGGGGAGGCATGTATATTAATTTTCGCAGCAGTTAACATTACTGAGTTTCTCAGCTGAGAAGAGCAGTGCTCAGCGCGGTTGTGGGAGCTGCCGGAGGGGAGGAAGGTGGACCACTGGGCTTGGCACCTGATGGCGCAGAGTCAGGGCCTACCCTGGAGGGGAGGGGAGAGTGTCAGAGAGTCTCAGCTGCCCAGAATGGGTCTCCGTGTTGGCCTTGCCGGGAGCCTGCCTTTACCATGCACCTTGCGCTTGGTGAGGAAGGTGTGTGTGAGAGAGACTGGAAGTGCTCGCAGGGAAGATTGCAGTTGTTAGTATGTGAAGTATCCTGGTGTGTGTGAGTGGAGTGTTGTTGTCACAGGGACATGTGGTAAAGGTCCGTTCCCTTTCCTCGAAGCTCCACAGGCTCCCAGGATGGTCCCGTGAGCAATCCCAGCAGTAGCAACAGCAGCCAGGACTCGCTCCACAAAGCCCCCAAGAAGAAGGGCATTAAGTCCTCCATTGGCCGCTTGTTTGGCAAGAAAGAAAAGGGCCGACCTGGACAAACTGGCAAAGAAGCATTAGGACAAGGTTGGTTGGTTTTCCACACCCTTCTCAGCAGCCAGGAGTCGGGGAGGAAGGTACTGCCTCGGTGCCTGCTGCGTGCTTGGCCCGCGGTTCCCACGCGGTGCTCCGGGAGCCGTGCACTCTCCAGGGATCCTGCCTTGACCATTTTTGTCCTGTGCTTTTCGTTGTCTAGTCAGAAGCTTAGCCTTAAAAAATGATTTTGCTCTGAACCTGCAAATATTCATCCACCCATTTATGAAAACATAGAACTCTGTCATGCTGATTTTACTTTTGGGCTGTTCTGCTTCCTCATAGCTGGTGTTTCCGAAATGGATAACTCATCTCAGGATGCCCTGGGACTTAGCAAATTGGGAGGACAGGCTGAAAAAAATCGTAAACTTCAAAAAAAGTAAGTTTGTATTATTTCTCCATCTCACTGAGTGGTTTTCAGTTGTGCCTGAGCTCTAACTAGTGTTTGTCAATTACAGATATCTAGCTATGTGTCTATACATTATATTCTGAAAGCTTTACCTACAGCCTTAATGAAGCCATACTTTCTGGAAGACTTAGAGTGTTTGTGAAATTTTGAAGAAACTCACACGGCATTCCTGTCACCTCGAAAAGTTGTTCAACTAGGAGATGGGGTGGGTGAGAGTTGGACTTAGCTGCCTCAGCACTGGAGTTGGTCCTGGCACCTGCGCAGGTTCACTTTGTGACGTCAAGGAAGTGACTTAGCATCTCTGCGCTTCACTTTTCTGTAAAGTGGGGATCCTAGTACTACATACCTTGTACGGCTTTTACAAGAATTAAATGGGACAATATGCATAAAGTTCTTTAAGCAGTGCCAGCAAGTCATAAACAAGCTGTAATGTGGCCGCTTCGGCAGTCGTTGCCTGCCAGTGTTCAGGATTTGCTGTTCATAGTAGTGATCTGTCGGAAACATTCACATGTTGCATTTGTTTCTCTTCTGTAGATGTTGTACTTTTATCTCAAGTAGACTCCAGATTCTGTAGCCTGTTTATTAAGTTTTAATTCTAAACTAAATCTGTGTCTGACAAGAAGCTATAATATTTGGTATGGCTTTCAACAGAGGAGCACAGGCATTGTGATGCCCCAGGGTAAGGGCGTGGAAGAGTCGGGGGTTTCTGTCCCTGGGCCTTCTCTGATTCGGGGTGAATTGTGTGTTGGTTGACTACAGATGAACTAGATAGGCTGAGACAATACCCAAGTGAGCTAACAAATGAGGAACAAAACTAAACCCATTTCTGCAACAAAATAGGCAGTTTGTGTAGTTTCTGCGGTAAGAGCTGAGCTTGAGAAATGTGGAAGAATGTAATGCAGGCCTTGAGACAGGGTGAACCTTAATGGGCTCTGTGATGATTCTGACTGTGGGAAAAATCATCTGGCCACTTATAAGTGCCCTGAGGAACCAACACTCATCTCAAACACACTGGTCCGCAGGTGTTCCAGAGCTTATGGGGACCCTCTGCCCTAGCGGCCCCTTTGCCTTTAGCCCCTAGAGTTGCCGGCTGATTTTTCTGTTGTCAAATCTACCTCATTTTAGTTCTGTTTTCAAAGCGATCATAAATACTTTGTTGGTTACGTTTTAGGTGAACTGCTCTTACGTTAACAATACCATAGGAGTACTCAGTTTCTTGGTTCCCTGTAAATGGAAATTTATAGAAACCACTTAACAGCAAAATCTGATTTGAACATTGCTGTGTTTGAACTGTGTAAGAATGTTTTAAAATAACTTGGGTAGTTGCCATTTGGCCCTGGGAACCTCAATGTCAGAACTAAACTTTCTGCCTCCTGGAACCATGCTAGGAAAATTGCATTCCTTAGATTTTTGCTAATGTGTTTTATTTTACTTCCTCATACTTGCTATAATAAAAAACAGTAAGGTTTGTGGCAGTGCAGCTTGGGCCAACCACTGCTTCCCCCAGAATTTTTTGTTTTACGAAGGAAAAAAAAAATTGTAGAAATTGCCCCCATTTTTTTTTGAGATGGAGTTGCCCTCTTGTCGCACAGGCTGGAGTGCATTGGCACCATCTTGGCTCACTGCAACCTCCGCCTCCCCAGTTCAAGCAACTCTCCTGCCTCAGCCTCCTGAGTAGCTGGGACTACAGGTGTCCACTATCACACCCGGCTGATTTTTTGTATTTTTAGTAGGGACGGGGCTTCGTCATGTTGGGCAGCCTGTCTCGAACTCAGGTGATCCGCCCACTCAGCCTCCCAAAGTGCTGGGATTACAGATAGGAGCTACCGTGCCTGGTCCAAATTTTTTTTATTCTGTTTTTAAAATTTATTTTGTAATTCCTAGGAAGTACATTTGAGCTGAGCACTGGGCTGTTAAGTGGACACCTTCTGTTTTTTGTTGTTGTTTTCTGAGACAGGTGTTGCTCTGTTGCCCAGAGTGCAGTGGCATGATCTCGGCTTACTGCGGCCTCAACCTCTTGGGCTCAAGCGATCCTCCCACCATGTCCTCCCAAGTAGCTAAGACTACAGGCACATGCCACCTGCCTGGCTAAATTATTTATTTTTTTTGTAGAGACATGATCTCCCTATGTTGCCCAAGCTGGTCTCCAACTCCTGGGCTCATGCAGTCCTCCTGCCTTGACGCCCCTGAAGTGCTGAGATTAAAGGCATGAGCCACTGCACTGAGCCTGAGGACAGCCTTTGTGTTCCTTGCCCAAGCATGTGGTTAAACGTCATGCTGGCTTTGTGCACTTAGTGTGTGTGTCGGTGGTAGGTAGGGTTCTGTGGAGCTGTGATGTTCAGATGTGTGCTGTGGGCATTAAACATCTGACACTGCTGTCACGGCTGTAACTGAGTGTCTGAGAGGGGTCTTTTCCGTCCTGACACTGCTGTCACGGCTGTAACTGACTGAGTGTCTGAGAGGGGTCTTTATGTTGTGCTCGGGATCCATGTGGAAGTCCTGCAAGGTACCAGCACCTCAGTACAGAAAATGTCCAAGTGTAGATAGAGATTATTTGTCTGCCTGCAGAGGGCAGTTTCGTTTCTTTCTCTCTCTTTTTTTTTTTTTAGGGAGGAAGGGATGAAGGGATGAAGGCAGGAAGGGAGGAAAGGAGGAAGGAGGGGAGGGAGGGAGGAAGGAAGGGAGGGAGAGAAGGGAAGGAAGGAAATCAGGCAATGAGACAGACATTGCCGACCTGGATCTAGAGGTCTACAAGTTGATTTCTTTTTCTTTTTTTTTTGAGAGAAGGAAAGGAAAAAAAGGAGTGAAGGAGAGGAAGAAAGAGGGAGAGAGAACGGAAATGTTGCTTTATTCTAAAAAAAAAAAATGGGTATTAATAATGGCCAATCAATATTTCATTTAAACCTATGAGTAGGTGTGATGTGGTATTGACAAGAATGTATATTTTGTGTATTTAAAGTGGAGAGCTCTATAAATATTTACTAAGTTTACTTGTTCTGGATCTGAGTTCGAGTCCTGGATATCCTTATTAGATTTCTGTCTCATTGAGTCTAAGTCTCTATGTATCTGGGTGTTAGGATCGTTAGCTCTTGTTGTTGCGTTGATCCTTTTACCACTATATCTTTGTTGCTTTAAAATCTATTTTATCAAATACGAGAATTGCAACTCCTGCTATTTATTTATTTATTTATTTATGCTCTCCATTTGGTTGGTAAATCTTTCTCCATCCCTTTGTTCTGAGTCTTTGTGTATCCTTGCATGTGAAACAGGTCTGGATGTAACATGCCATTGGGTTTTGGCTGTGTCTTTTGATTGGGGGATTTAGTTGATTTAAATTTAGGGTTACTGCCATTTGATGTTAACTAGCTGTTTTGTCCATTCGTTGATGTAAATTCTTCTTTATGTTGATGCTCTTTACTTTTTGGTATATTTTTAGAAAGGCTAATACTGGTTGTTTCTTTCTATGTGTAATGCTTCTTTCAGAAGCTCTTGTAAAGCAGGCCTGGTGGTAATAAAATCTCTGAGTACTTGCTTGTTCATAAAAGATTTTATTTTTCCTTCAGTTGTGAAGCTTAGTTTGGCTGGATATGAAATTCTGGGCTGAAAGTTCTGTTCTTTAAGGATGTTGAATATTGGCCCCCACTCTCTTCTGGCTTGTAGAGTTTCTGCTGAGAGATCTACTGTAAGTCTGATAGGCTTGCCTTTGTGGGTAACATGACCTTTCTCTCTGGCTGCCCTTAGTATTTTCTCCTTCGTTTCAACCCTGGTGAATCTAACGATTATGTGCCTTGGGGTTGCTCTTCTTGAGGAATATCTTCGTGGTGTTCTCTGTATTACCTGGAGTTGAATATGGACCTGCTTTGATAGTTTAGGAAAATTTTCCTGAATAATATCCTGAAGGGTATTTTCCAGCTTGGATTCATTCTCTCCGTCGCATTCAGGTACGCCTATCAAACGTAAATTTGGTCTTTTCACATAGTCCCACATTTCTTGGAGACTTTGCTCATTCCTTTTTATCCTTTTTTCTCTAATCTTGTCTTCTCATTTTATTTCATTAAGTTGGACTTTGACATCTGATATCCTTTCTTCTGCTTGAACAATTCGAGTGTTTAAACCTGTGCATACCTCTCGGAGTTCTCCTATTGTATTCTTCAGTTCCATTAATTCACTTATACTCCTCTCTAAGTTGTCTATTCTCATTAGGATTTCATCAAACCTTTTTTCAAAGTTCCTAGTTTCTTTACATTGGGCTACAACATGTTCTTTTAACTCACAAAAGTTTCTTGTTATCCATGTTCTGAAGCCTGATTCTGTTATTGGCATGTGCTCGTTCTCCATCAAGCCTTGTTCCCTTGTTGATGAGGAACTGTGATCCTCTGTAGAGGGAGAGGCATTCTGACTTTGAGTATTCTCAGCCTTTTTACACTGGTTTCTTCCCATCATTGTAAATTTATCCACCTGTCATCTTTGTAATTACCAACTTTCAAATTAGGTTTCTGAGTGGACGTCCAAGTTGTTAATTCCCAGGGCCGAAATATGAGCAACCCACTGCACGGCGTTAAGACTGATGGTGCTTTTCTGCCCGGAAATCTCCAGTCTGGCTTCTTTCTTGAGTCCGTAATAGGCGACTCTGCCTTCCCGGAGCTCCAAACCTCAGTCAGAAGCTCCAAACCTCAGTCAGAAGGGGAACCAGTCCCATTTACTCTGCACCAAGAGCTGCTGCGCTGAGGTGCCAGCAAAACCACTGCGCCGGCCACAAGAGTCGCGCTGGTGACCCGTGCACCTCCTCCAAACCTCGGTCAGAAGGGGAACCAGTCCCGTTTACTGTGCACCACGAGCTGCCGCCCCGAGGTGCCGGCGAAACCGCTGCGCCGGCCACAAGAGTTGTGCTGGCAATCCGTGCGGCTCCTCCACTGGGAATCTTCTGCTCCGTGAGCGACCAAAATTTGTCTGAAAGTGTGGCATCCTCT